TCCTAACCGTTTGTTCTCACTTGCTGGTAAAACCCAGGTGTCGATTACATTCATGTTCATTTTAGGTAGAGACACGGCACTTGGTGATATTTGGCCTCTGGTCATAAGAGGGGCTGTCAGAGCTGCTAAACAGGGGCCTGCTGTGCTGTGAATGACTCACGCTGACTGTCTGTGTGCTGCAGCAGAAACATTACAGGTCACATCGCCGCCAGGACTTTCACATAAAAGAAGTTCCTGCATTTATTCAGACATGAGAGAACAAGTGAAGCTGCAGGAACATTTATGTAACAGGGGCTGAGAGGGGGTTTTCTTCCCCCCTCAGGCATTTGTTTAGAAGAGGAGCCCCCCAGATCCTGACACGTCTCCTGATCTGTGTTGTTAGCAGATAACTGAGCAATACTCCTCCAAGACACAGGGAAACGGGATATGTGTGAGACCTGCCTAAATCCCTCATCATTTATAAAAAAGGTGGGGCTAATAGAGCATAGATGCTTGTATCCTCCACCTGCGCACCTTTCGGATATGTTATGATCTGGTGTTTCCTGCAGAAATAGTTTGTGGTGGTAAACCTTGTCCTTTTCTTCAGTTTTAACTGTTTTCTCTTTCTTCCTTTTCTCTCCAGTTTAAATGAGTAGTATATTAGTCAACAGGAAACTTTTGTAGTGTATTTATGTGTAAATAAATCATATGCACACAATAACTAGAGGATAAATATTCAACTGCTTCTTCAGTCAGTTCATGGATGGACTCCAGATCCAGGTAGTGATGGTAGACTGTATTCTGCTCAGCAGGCGAACCTGTTCTCTGGAGGTTAAGTAGGAGTGGACCGAACCTGAACTATGGTCTCCAGCTGCACTCTTTTAATCTACGAGTAAAGCAAAATCTTCTGGAGAGCAGCTGAATGATATCAGACTGTCACAACAGCAACCTGATCAGCCTGCTGGTGGGAAACACTGGAAAGGGTAGGGCTGGCTGGTTACCAACTTTCAAAATAAGAGCGAGCAAGTAAAGTCTGTATGTAGGGAAATGCTGCTCAGAACAAACAGGTGGGTACTGTTCTCTGATTGGATCAAATTATTTCAAAGTTACCTCAAAGTAAAGAATGACTTTTTCTTTTACTGAAAGGTTAAAAATAAAGCCCGTTGCTGGTTCTGCTCTGGCATCTCTGTCTTTTGTTTTTCATTTGCCTGCGATTATACATGATGAATGACACAAGCAGATCTTCAATCGCCACAATTCTAATTTGAAGGGAGAGCTGGGAATTCGAGGAGACCCTGGCAGAGTCCCCAGTGTTCCCATCATAAACGTCCGGGTAGTAGTGTTGGTGGTGGGGGGACTCCATGTCATCCTTTCAGAGCCTCAGCCATTGTGACCTTGCCAGTTTGTCTCTGTTTTCTACACACGGACGCTCTGAAAGCAGTTTTTCTCTGCAGCTCCTGGAAACCACAGACAGACTCCCAGCAGCACCCTGGAAACCAGCACAAACCCCTCGACCCTATGCTGGTCTCAGTGGTGCATCAGCTTCTCTGTGGAGTCCAGCTTCAGTGAACAGTTTGAGCACTGTGCAGGAGTCTAATATCAGGCACTAAAAACAGGCTTTAGGCTTTGTGTTTCCATTTTCTCCGACTATCAAACTGAATCGTGTGACATTCATGACCGGCTTAGTCACTTTAACATCTTAGAAACTGCAAAAATGACTCACATTAATCTTCTCGAGCTTTGAGAACTTTGGGAAAAGCCTTCATCGCTGTCACCATCAGCTGGTTTCTGGTCCAGTCTGAGCTGTCATCAGGTGACCTATATCAGCAGGAACTCTGCTTCAGGCATTGGCCCATTTCAGCATCTCACTAGCCCACTGCCATACATTATCTCTGACCCCCGACCCCAAACTCAGAGGTCTCTCCGCTGTGATGATAGCAGCAGCTGTTTGTCTCCAGCTGTGACCATCAACTTGTTTCAGACTGGAGGCTGTGGGAGTCAGTACAGTTCTGTATGGGTCTTTGTTCCCAGCCGGCAAACTGTTAGCAGTGCGGCGTCACATGTGGGACTTGTTAGGGCAGTAATGGATTCAGCAGAGGCCTCTAGTGCCCTTCAGTTCAGCCATTACTGTGCATTCACAAGGCAGATGTTTTTAACAGTGACCACATTCAGCCTCGGTGGCAGCAGGAGCCAAAAACGATCCTTCAGGACTTTGATGCAAGCGTCCCTCGGTTACTGCTTGGAGTCAGCCGATGGACTCATCTGCAGCTGTTTTATACCTGATTTCAGTGAATACTTGTCAGAAGCACTAGACATCCCAAAATTTGAGGAGACTGGAGAGCAAAAGGATTAATCACAGGACTGATAAATCAGCCGAAAATTTCAGAGCATTCATTGATCGTCTGTGTTCTTAGACACATTTTCTCTGGGTTTACATGAAAACAAATAGCATGTCTGTTGTTTTCATTGTGGACACTTTGACCTGCTGGTGGAACTAAAACAAATCTTTTCATCATTTGGTGTGTGTGTGTGTGTGTGTGTGTGTGTGTGTGTGAGAGAGAGTGTGTAACTGAAATTCTTTGCATTGTTACTCAAACGTTCTACGACGTCTGAGAAAATGAGTGTGCCTATTGTCCGTCTTGGCTTACTGTATTCAACATGTGAATATAATTTCGGGCACCCTAAGCACACTCGATCTTATCTGATCTTGGAACCAAAGTGGGATGTTGCCTGTTTAGCACTCGCATCATAGACCACCTGGGAACTGTGCTGTAAGCTTAGGGGTGGCTGTTGGACGTCTGTTAGTCGGAAAGTTTGATCCACACTTCCTCCGGTCTGTGCCGCAAGATGCTGAACTCCTGGTTATCCCAGTGCATCCTTAATGTGTGTCTGAATAGGTAACTTTTGTTACTTTAGTGCACGAGTGGAAAATGTAATGTGATTAGAGTAATGCAGTAATTAACCAAACTGAGTCTTTTTAATAAGATTTGGGTGACTATTCTTTGCTGGGGAAAGGCTTTGCTCAAAAGGCTACAAGTGGAAAGTCTTTTCACAGGGGCTTTGCTTCATGTCTGTTCACAACAAAATTGACCTTTTTTAAACTTTTATTTAACAAAGAGGTCCTTTAATTTTTATTTTATTTTATTTTTTTTTGCCTCAAGGACAGAACATGAAGAGACACGAGACAAAAATAAGGACAAATCAGGACAAACAAGTAACTGAATACAAATACAGAGCCCAGCTTAGGAATGTCAGGATCATTCTTCAGTGCGAAGTAAAATGATACATGAAGGCTGAAGGTTGGTTTCTGCCATTATCAGTAAAACCGAACTGATCATAATGGAGTTGGGGCTGATAAACAACACCAGCGTTTTCCTGATACAAAACAAAGAGAAGACTTTAGAACAAACTGCGTCTGTTTGTATTATCAGAGTTTTAAAGTGGGAAAAAACGGCACACGTCCACTCTAAAGAAATTAAGAGATAAAGTTAGCTTGGTATATTGTGTTACAGTTATCACTGTCTCATCGGTGTGCTGTGTTTATAGCTGGTAATACTGGAAAACAGGCCTGTCACATTCTGAGGAAGGTCCAAGTCACATTGACACAGCACTAAAAATCATGTTTTACTGTGTGGGAAGTTAAAATGAGCTGGACTTGGTTTAGAACGGCTTCTTTGAATCAAACTGTTTTAAGTCTCAGGAACACAATACAGAAAAATAAGCCTGCTCATACCGGAGCTATCAAGATTTCCCCTGACAGAGGATCCGTCCTCACCTGCTCCTTGTTGGGTTTTCCTGGGTTTTATTCTGCAGGTTGTGATGAAACTGGATTAACTTTGTTTGGTATTTAAATTATTTATTTGCAGCATTTGTAACTTGAATCTTGTTGATGTACCTTAAGTTCTGCCAGCAGAGAGTGACAGAGAGGAGAGGTGAGGAGGGCAGGGGGAGGATCCAGAGATGGATGATTGGCAGCTGGTGGGCGGGGCTTAACATGTGAGAGGCTAGACTGAGAGTTGCAGTGAATCAGACCTCACCGGAGGCGAGACACACGGCACACAGACAGACAGACGGACGGAAAGACAGGAAGAGAGGAGCTAAAATGGTCTTAAACTGGAATACACAGCGACTGACAGCACACTGCAAACATGGTAAGATCACACACTCAGTCTCCAACAGCAGTCTGCAGCACATGGTGTGTGTGTGTGTGTGTGTGTGTGTGTGTGTGTGTGTGTGTGCGTGAGGTTTGTTGGGGGGGGGGGGGGGGGGGGGGGGGGGGGGGGGGGGTGGGGGTGGGGACAGGGGTGTTGGGTTTCCATCAAGGTGTATTCTTGAAGGAAAACTTCTATCTAAACAAGTGTGTGTGTGTGTGTGTGTGGTGTGTGTGTGTGTGTGTGTGTGTGTTCAGTCAGTTAAAAAGTCCTTGCAGTGACTGTGTGTGAGTGTGTTTGTGTGTGTGTGGTTTGGAGCAGAGTCTGTGTTCAGCTGAAATAAACCTCTAAATTCAAACCTCTTGAGTTCTGAGTTCAGACTCGCAGCAAAACAGAGAAAAGCAGAATCATCTGTTGCTTCAGCAGTTTAAAATGTCCATGATTGAAAAAGCAAAACAAATGCAATAAAACGAGTATGTAACAGTTCACAAAGACAGCTAAAGTGCAGTAAATAAAAGCAGCAGTAAGAGCTTTCTTGGATGCACATTTAGTTGGAGTCCCTGTCTTCACCCTCTTGTGTTTTTCCAAACTCTCAGATCTTTATTTTAAAGTTTTTAAGTGTCAGTTTGTGGTTGAAGGTTTCCATAAAAAACCAAAAAACAAACAACCCCCCTCAAAATTATGTATACCAGGACCTTTGTGTGTCTTTAATGAAGAGCTGCAACAACGTGAGGGCTTTTCTCTAGCCTTCAGAGAAACCTGGGGTTAAATGTAAAATGTGGTGATGTTTAATGCATTTAGATGTTGTGGGCTGTCATGATGCTGGTTTGGATTGTACTCCTGTTTTGTCCCTCAGCTCCTCCTGAAATCGGTTGTTTGTTTTGGTCCTGTGGTCAGTGCGTCACCTCTCAGGATTTCCTTATAGGCTTTAAACCTAGTTTGGTTTTCTTACTGAGCTGTTAGTAGATTTGTAGTTTTATTATTGCTGTCAGTTATGACTATTTAGCATCAGATGGACTTTTACCAAAGTAAGATCATTAAGGCCACAACGTCTTAAACTTACTGTAAATGGGAGTCCTCCTCACACACAAGAATAATTATGGAGTTCCACAGGGTTCTATGCTAGGACCAATTTTATTTGCATTATGCATGCATTATATTATATTATTTGAAATAAAATACATTTTCATCATTGCTATGAAGATTATATCAAGCTCTATCGATCCATCAATCCACACAACACAAAGTGATTAGATAAATTGCAGGAATATCTTGCTAGCAACAAAGAGTGAGCTGCAAAGTGACTCACTACGAGTGACTCACTTCCTGTGTGGAAGCCCCTTCACAGTTAGGAAAGAGGATTATCCAGGTGGTGCTCATTGGTTAATGACTTAGTCACACGTTAGCCAGTAAGCATGCGGCTTCACTGTCTACCCCTCATTTGTCACAGCTAGTGTCACACCTAACATCAGGATGGCAATGGCACAAAAACATCTCTGCCTCGTAATGGATTTAACTGACTGCCTGTTTGTGTCATGCTATAGAAACGTTGTAGTCTGTGTGTAAAGATGGCTTTAATATGGGGGTGAACAGAAGAGAGTGGTTATCATTTATTTTATGGTAGAACACTTAAATTTGTACCTGTAGTGTTTTTGTAGTTTAGTTCACTCTGGGCTCATTAACTAACATCAGACCCGAGGAGCACATTTTATCACACTCAGAAGAAGGCGAGACAAAGTTTTAGTGAAAGTTCACAGTGTTGGTTTGACCTTCAGTTTGTTCCCAAAGAGCCACAGCAGCGTCCCTCCCTGCAGTACATCCCAGTGCCTGGGAAGTGTAAAAAGAAAAGAAGTGTAACAACACAAAACTGTTTGCCACAGATATCTCTGTCTTTCCCGTGAGCTCTTATTACACTGTACACTGTGAGGTTTCTCACTGCTGGCCAGAAAATTGTACAACATTCCTGTTTTTCCAGTTTTATTAAAGTGTAATAAACAGATCGCTTTGCCTGAACAAAATGCCTGGAACAAAAGTCAGAGGGTAAAAAAGTTTAGTTTATCAAAACCTGAAGACTTTCACGTTAAAGAAGTCCTTTCTTTCAGGGAGTTAAGAGCTTCCTGCTTTCGAGCAGCAGTGAAGTAAATGAAGTGGTGTTAAAAAAGGTGTTAAAAGCTTGTCTGCATGAATGCAGGGTTCCTCCTCCAATCACATTATAATTCAGTGGCTTTATATCAGGTTCACTGGGATTTGTTTGTGGTTTGTAAGTCTTAGAGGAGAAGCTGCTGAGTAAAATGTCATCTGTCGAAGCTTGGATTAACTCAAAATTAATGATCGTGATTTATTATGGACTGAAATGCTTTGCGGGCTTTCAGTGCTTCATTGTTAGACTTCAGAAATGTTGGCTCCCGCTGGAGGTTTTGCCCCTTTTCCTACTATTTTACCTAAGGATAAAATAAAAATACACAGATTTCTGTGAGGTAATGTGACATAGCCTTGGCTGTATGTGGACCAGTCGTAATAAGTCACCCTTCAAAGATCCATTTTAATCCAGTAAAAGCCCTGATTGGTCACTCTTCATGACCAGAAGGCTTGAAAATAAGGCCCTGGATCTCATGTCCAGTCTGCTCCGATTGCCACAGTGCAACTTGGTAACAATGGCAATAAATAAGTGTGTGGCTGTTGTTTCAGTGAGTCACAGACACACACCTGAGCAGAGATGAAATGTTGTTGCCATGGAGGAGTGTGATTGGGTGTGTTTGACACAAAGGTGAAATATTGCGAGGCTGAAGAACACGTGCTCAGGCATGTTGGGGAACCATAAAGGTTCTGCAGGAGTTAGAACCAGGAGTCCACCAGACAGGAGGTTGTCCTGCTCAACTGTTTTTAAAGCAGAAAATCACTCAGAAAACACTTCAATTACACTACAGTCGCAGCACAGCCATCTTTGGTCAGTTTTCCAGATGTTTTGCTCCGTGTTCCTGTCTCTGAACTGAAATTGTCCTCACCCCAGCAGCTGACTCAGACTGTGATGTTATGCCATCATGTTTCATCATACTGGTCTGTAACGTCCCTCATGAATGACCCGTTTCTAACCGGGTTTATAGCAGTTTGCTTTCTCCCTGGCCTGCAGTCCTCTCTCTGTGATTAGCAGATCAACCCCCTGCTGGGATGACCCAAATGGCACTATGCTGTGATGCGAATCAGTGTTTGAGATTTTGGTGATGCGCACTTATCATCATCTCCATAAACAGCCTATTAAATAAGCAGAAACGCCTAACATTATTCAACACATTCCTGCATTGATTATTTTTATTCTGTAAGATAAAAACATTTAATCTCAGCACATCACAGCTTTCATCTGACAAACTGCTGCTCTGACAGTGCCAGAAGCAAGACACAGCCTGACATAACCTCTGCCGGCCTGCACGTGATGTTAGGATAGAGATAAATGCACTCTTTTCCTCAGAGCAACTGTGGAATAAGCTGTGTTTATTTAACTGGATTTAAGGTGAGGGCTCAGTACCCCCTGATCCAAACCCCGAAAACCAACCCAGCATTTGGGGCAAAAAAAGAAAAAGTTCCCGTTAACACACACTAAAAATTATTTCAGTTTTTCCCCAAAAGCCTTTTTATTTTTCTCAAACAGTGGGGTTAGGGTTACTCCTCGTCATTGATGCCTTGGACCTCACACGGGTTAAATTGAGATATAAAGATCAGCGGACGTGTTCAGGCTCTTCCTGCGACACCGTCTTTTTACCCAGCAGACCCTTGACAAGCCCAAACGCCTCTGATTTACAGAGCCTTGAAGCTCTGCAGGAATGTTCGAGGCACTCAGATAATGGACTCGCACTGATGGAGGTTACACACAGAAAACAAGGTGTGGTCATGGATCGTTGACATTCTTACAACAAACATGTCACAGATAAGCCTCAGTGTAATTCAAGATAATGAGTTTGGGTGATTTAAAAAAAAAAAAAGATTTCATGACATGAGATTTGGTAATACTTCTTAAAACCGCTAAAGAAATCCGCTTCCAGTAAAAAGGATTTGATGGAAGAGGTTTCCATGAGCGGGCTGCTCATCTTGCGTATCGGGTTTAACACACTGACCCAGTGGGCTTCACTTCACCGCCTGATGGAAGCTGTTTTTCACGCTGCCTCTCGGGTCAGATGTCAGAGGAAAAAAGCTCAGCCTTTGAACCTGCAGACTGCAGCTCAGCCGGAAATGTTTTTATCTCTTGGGACTCGTCAGCGATAGGAAGTGGTCGTCGTCCGCGGTGTTGAGTGCTGCGTTGTTGGGATGGACCCGCGGCGATGCGCTTCGGAGGAGGCAGCACAAAGAGCCAGTGTTCCTGCAGGTCCTCACCGTACCTCAGCACCCTGTCATCTTCCTGCCCCAGCCTGCCTGAAACATGAAGCCTCTTCCCCCTCCCTTCACCCTCAGCTCCGTCTGGGAAAACACCCCTCCACCGAAGAACACGCTACCTGAATATAACACCCGTAAAATAAGATTCCCCCCCAGGCCAATAAATTCTCTGACCTACTTCAGTGTGAGGTGAATCCTGCCACACATGCAGAGAGCTTCAGGGTCCCTCATGTGGGATATTAGATCCATTTCATTGTTTTCCACTTACAAACTTTACATGGGTGGTCCACTGCACTATAATTCCCTACTCGTTTTAGCATTTTTGTCTTCATCTTATTATCTTCATTCATCATGCAGGATCCAAACAACACTTGATTAAAAAGTTCAGTCACAGCTGAGCAGCCGGTCCCAGCTTTTTCCTGTCGTGCATTTTCTCTAAAGGCTCTGTGGCAGGTTGCTGTTGAGGCAGTTCATGATATCATTCAGCTGCCCAGAGGATGCTGATCATCCTGACAGACTCCAACTCCACCACTTTGGACTGCAGCTGGTGATTCTAGGCCTGTGTCTGCTCTCATATTCGCTATCACTTATGAATGATCGTGGGTGTTTTTTTTTTTAGTTTTTTTTTTTTTTTA